GTATCCAATCCAATTTTTAGTCCTTACATTTCAAAAAGACCGGACTGGACCGGATCAATTTGGACCAATTTAACCGGACCGTATAGCCACTCCTAATTTTTAGTGGTACTAGCTTTTTATTTATGGGCCTAGATTCAAATTTGAAGGCAACAAAAAAAAAAACTAACTCTAATTATTATAAATGAAGGATATCTATATCGATAGCTACCTTATCATTTTGTCTTACATATAGTATTAACTTATACTTAAATCATTTTCTAGCCAGCTGATCGCTCGGTGGAACCAAAGCCTTGAATGTTCGATCGGTCACACGCCAAAGGTTGAATGCTTGGTTTGTTGGACGAACCGATTCCTCCAAATCATGTGGTGGAAGCAGGAACGCAAGGCATATATATCCATGTCTTAATCCACTAATTAAACCAACCATCAGAATCTTACTTAGCTAGGCCCATCCTCACACTTGAACTATAAATATTAAATACTGTCCTTAATTATTTATGGGAAGAAAACACAGGGGGAAAAAAAATAAGCAGCACTCAATGGAAATTATTAAGGCTATATTTTCCCTCCTCCTCTTGGTTCTTGTTTGTGCTTTTACGTCGATCAGACCTTTGGATGCAGCTTCACACGATGTGAAGAATCACCAGATGATCACCACCACTACTAGGAAGTTGTTGTCTTATAATTCTACAGGCAAGTTTCAAGAACCACCCCTTTCACTCTCTATCTCTCCTCAAGTTGGGATGGAATGGATTTTAAGATAGTCGATCAATACTAAAGCATTTCATATGGCAAAAATTAATCTATATTGCATTCACTTATTAGATGTACTTTGATGTATTTCTGATAATTCAGATAATCATTTGTAATTATCACTTGACTAAGTTGATCTCCTGGTTTGAATTTAGAGAATTCAGAATCGAGATCCAGCAATTAGAAGTTAGAATATAATATCATGGCACAAACTTTGGTCAATTCATAGTCTAAATAGTGTAGTCTATAAGCATATGCTAGCCTGAATCCTATGCATAACATGTTAATATAGAACTAGTTCTTTTCGTTTGAATGTAGCTTTCCATGAGAAGAATCAACCGATGATGACATCAACAAGCTGCTTTTTCAGTGGAGCAAGTTTACGCTGGTTAACTCCCTCTCCCTCGCTTTCTCGAAGAAAAATACTTGTTTTCGTGGTTAACAAATTGAAAGGATCACTAAGAGCAATGAAACAGTCGGAGAAGATTATGGTCACTATTTTGGTGTTTTTGCCAACGGTTCTTTTGGTCATAGAAACTCTTTTCATTTGTTGTATAACTCTCCCGTGGAAGATTTAGTATTGGATCTTTCTTCTTTACGTAACACCATGCAGAGTTGTGTTATTAGGAGTGAAATGAGTCTTAGTTACAATTGATTGTTTTCAAAGCTTTAAATATCTTTTGAGTTTGGATGTTATGTTATTCCTTTAAAAGACCATCTTAATTGTGGGAGCGGGGGAGCAATTGTGTATGGATTAGAGGTTTATATCAGCTAGGAATTATGCGGATTTGCATATTCTTTACCTTTCTTAAACTCACTAACATGATATCAATATTCATTAGGTTCCAATAATTAGGTTTAGTTTCAAATTGGATGTTATTTCATTTTTTATTGTAATTAATGAGGACGATAACGTTTGTTGTCGTAGTCATTTTGTGCTATGTACCGTGCATTGTATCGATCCTGCCCTTTGGAATTGTTAGATAGCTTGTCAATGATTAATGAAACCACAACATGCTATGGAGTAACTCGTTGATCCCAATAACTCGAATTGTTGTGAGAGATTCAATTTTGGATCATATACAATTGCCTAACATGCCCGCTAAAATGAAAGTCAATTCATAATGGTTGAAATTTGCACGAATCTGAATATCATATACTTAACAACCGAGGTTACTGGAATTTTAACACAACTTTTTGGTTATCAAATCCTCGGATCATAGTGGTTTAATTTCTTTCTTAAGATCTACTCACGGGAAATAATTGTTAGTATTGTGGATAATTACTTGTACAGTTTGATGCGGGATAAGATAGTATAACAACATCCTTAGAGTTGTTATTATAACAACAAAATTCATTAAGGGTAAAAATGTAAAGTACTATTAAAATAACAAAATAAAAAATAAATCAAAATAATACCACCTATCTCTCTCAATCCCACATAATTGCTAATCGTTTGCGTTACACATCCTTTAACGACGGGAACGCAATTGTCGACTTCGACGGCGGACGCGCCGATCTGATTTCTGCTCCGCCCAGCTTTTCTATCGTCGATGGCGGAGAGGACGCTGGCCATTGGAGGTTGAATCCCGGTGTTGAGCACAACCGCCCCTATTTCTCCATCCCTGCCGCACTCTTCCCCTTGCCAGATCTGATTTCTCCTCCATCCAACTTTTCTATCGTCGATGGCAGAGAGGCCGGTGGCCATCGGAGGTTGAATACCGGCAACGGCGTATTGTTCCTAGTTGCCTACTCGGCAACGGCGGCAAAATAGGAGACGGAGGATCATCGAAGGGCATGGGCGAGATCGAGAGCGGCGACGGTGGGAAAATAAGGAGCAGTTACGGCGGAACCTGCTCCTAGGTTCCATAACTTCCATGGTGGCCACGCCAATTGGTTCCCACCACCGAGGAATCGACCGAACCAGACTGACAATGCTTTGAAGCTATTGCTTTTGTTGATTGGCTTCCTCGTTCTCAGTGAAAGTTGTGTTTGGGTTGCACTAATTAAGTTGTCGAGTTATTTTATCACTTATTACGTGTTGGAAAGGTTGATGTCATTTTAGTGCAGCAGTGATGAGCATCAGTGTTGATTGTTCAGCTTGTTGTTAGTTCATTGACAATAAAGTACTGAGTAGCAAGCTGCTAGTTAGTATTGCTTTTTTTTTTTTAAAGTGGTATTGCTTTGTTGATTCTTGAGAGAAAGCAAGTTATTCTGCGTGAAGCGAATTGTATCAATTACTTGTTCTTTTTTGACAAGGTATCAAGTACTTGTTTCATACTAATGGTTTATGTGTTTTTGATACGATGTGTCGGTTAGTTTCAAGCTCTGCAAATTCAGAGTGGTCCTTTTAGATTTAATTTTTCAGGTCCACGACATATATTTTAAGCTTTCTAGTGTGCATTGAAATACACTACAAATTTTCTTATGCATGTCACAAATCTTATAAAGCATACAATAAACCATATCACACATTAATAAGCACACTAGAAACTTTTTAATATAGACCGCAAAACGGTAAAAACAAACCACAAAAAGCATACCAGAAACCTCTTAATGCATACCACAAATCGCCTAAAACAGACCAAAAACCACACAAATCAAACCACAAATATTTCTAAAGCACAACATAACCCTCTTAATGCAAACCACAAACATGGTAAAATAAACCACAACAAGCAAACCATAAACCTTTTAATGAACACCACAAATCTATTAAAACATACTAGAAACTCGACAAAGCAAACCAAAAATATTCTGAAATCACACCAGAAACCTCTTAATGCAAACCATAAACACGGTAAAAACAAACCACAAAAAGTATAGCAAAACCTCCTAATGCATACCATAAATCGCATAAAACAGACCTGAAACCCCACAAATCAAACCACAGATATTTTTAAAACACACCAGAATCCTTTTAATACAAACCACAAATACGGTAAAATAAACCACCAAAAGCAAACCAGAAACCTCCTCATGCACACCACAAATATATTAAAACATACCAGAAACTCCACAAAGCAAACCAAAAATATTTCGAAATCACAACAGAAACCTCTTAATGCAAACCACAAACACAATAAAGCAAATCACAAAAGTCATACCAAAAACATGAAAAACCAAACCACAAAAAGCATATAAGAAACAAGAGAAAACAAACCATAAAAAGCGCACAATAAACACGAGAAAAGTATACTATAATCTATAATGCAGACTACAAAATTTGACGACTAGCGATCGCTGACTGGACTCCCACGAACATCGATCATTATATAATAATTCACTTCACTTTCATGTGTGTCGTAACATTACTGTCATATATGATAAAGTTATTTTCAAAAAAAAAAAGTTTGTATTCCAACTAAATAACGAGACTCAAGAATAATTTATAAATTTATATAAATCAAATCACATTCATTCCATAATAAAATCCTATTTATTAATTTTCAAATTCATGTATTCTTTCCTTTTTATGGAATCAATCTTTCATAGGACAAAACTCTTGCTTGTTTTTTTTCCCAAGAAGTTGCTTCTCTAGCATTATTAAGCGGCAACCAATTATAATAATAAAAAATAATAATGAATTAAATGGGCTTTGGTAAGTTCGGGTCATGCGAAGCCCATGCGCAATACATGCGGCTGCGGGCGGCTGTAAAGGAATATTTTGTAGTGACCATTATGCCCTTTATTTAATTTTTAGCCTACAAAAATCAGTCAACCCATAAAAAGTATGCATAAGGGTGTCTTCCTATTGGCTGGCCTATGTTGCTGTCACCATAACAACAAATATGGTGTTGTCATCATATCTAGTCCCGTTTAATGCTCTTCAAATGCTAAAATAGAACAATTAAAATAATACCATGCCAAGAAGAATGATTAATTAAAAGCTACTCATAAATCACACATTAATTCTGGGTAAAGAATGACAATTACATTACGAAGTATAGTACTGAATTAGCTGAACAATGAGAAAGAAAGAAACAAACAAAAGTACGAATCTATCATGTATGACTAACTACCTAGCTCCGGTGTTCGTCAGTTGACCATGCTGCACCTCCTCCTAATCTCACCCTGGTTCCCAGTAAGAACATCAATGGAGCCCATCTTCACCATCGCCCTACCGAATTTTGCAGCCCACGCCACATCGTACCTGGCGTTCACATCCACGTACCCCCTTGTCGCCGGGCTCTCCGCCAAGAACGAGGAACAGCGGGACCTGCCGATGGAATGCGCACCGGAGAGCGTCACCATCTCGTCCGCCGACAACCCTTTCCTGGCGAAGTTTTGAATAAGCTGGTCGGCCGTGAGTCTCGGGGAAGGGAGGTTTTGCGTGACCTCGTTGAAGCTGGAGACGATGCCATCACGGCGGCCAGCGGGGACAGGGTAGTTGATGCGTCCGAGTATTGGGAGCTGTCCCTGGCGGCGAAAGCGAGAATGTCGGTGCACGAGACGGTGTTAGGGCAGACACGTTCGATTCTTCTTTTGGCTCTCGCGATGATGTTGAACCCTCTCAAAATATCCGGGTGGTCTCTCTCTGCTTTCGGGCCACTTGGGAGGGATTTCAGCAACACTGAACCATCACAACCCCGGATGAAGCAGTCGTGAAAGTGCAACCTAATGAGTCCTGCACCAATGCCGGGATTTTGAGACACCGTCCTTCTCACGATTCTTCTGACGATGGATTCGGCGGCTGGATAAGATCGTCTATAGAAGCCTATTCTAAGAGACGGTGAACCAGCTGAATGTACCACCGGCAGCTGACATGGAAAATTGACTACAATTAATCAAAGTCAGCATACACGTGGCAGCTGACATGGAAAATTTATTAAAAAAAATCATTTATTTAAAAAGAAAATTCTCTTGGAAGATTGAGTGGCTAAGAGGAATCGTCTCCTCTTTTTCTTCCCTAGGCATCACGCCCTCATCCCCTCCACTTCCCCGGCACCATCCATTGCCTCCTCTTTTTCTTCCCTTCGGCGCTCCACCATTCTATCCCTTTGGTTTCTTTGTGACTACGACAGTTTACGTCATCCACTCCGTCGTGTCTCAACCCACCTCATTCAACGATTTCCAATTCCTTTCCTCCATCGTCAATCTTCGCTCCCTCCAGGAATCCAGAGCAACGAGGAAGCTTCGCTTAATAAGGCAGCTCTCTAGAAGGTCATGCTTGAAGATGGATCTGCCGCATCGGGGAAAGCCTCGATCAATTTAGGGATTTTGAAGGCAACAACGCGACGGTTCAGTAGATGACGGCGTCGAAGGTCGGTCGCATCCTTAAGGACGATGATGCTATGCTTTCTGAACTTTTGGTCCAAAAAAAGGGCAAAATAATCCAGATTTGTTGTTTTGGCTGGAAATTTCTTTGATGGTTAATGATTAATCGACTCCGTCGTTGCTGGATCTATGCGCAAATCTCGCAATCTCCATTTCCGCCCGCCTCCGGTGCCTCCGATCTGCCCTTCTCTTCACCTTCAGACTGTGCAATTTTGTGGAGTTAGGTTTCTGGGACGAGTCTCGCAACCGCCGTCGAGGACTGCTAGATCTGCATCCAAGGTGCATCTCATTCCTCTATCTTTCTCTCTTCCCATGTTTCTTTTGTCGCTTCGATTTTGTTTCTTCTCCTATCTGGGTATTTATGCGTATGGATTGGATTTCTCATATGCCCGGCAAGAAAAGTGGTTGTGACGACAGTTGCAGAAGACGCCGACGATGGTGTGAGAGGAGAGAGTATGAGAAAATAATTTTATATTTTTTAAAAATTAAATATGACATGGCATCTATTTTCTCAAAATATCATTTTGTAAATCACAATGAATCCATTTCATCTGTGAAAAAAGTCAAATTCAAATTATAAAAAAAAAGGTAAGTAAGAAAATTCGAGGAAATAAAAGAGTCATTTATTATCAACAATGAGATCCAATTTCAATTAAAATTAATGGTCCAAATATTATTATAGTAAAGTTATGCACTTTGTTTACCGAAGTCAAACTAATTGGGACAGGGCAGGCAGACGGGCTTACATATATAACAACCCACAAACCCAGTCATAGAGCCGCTGCGAAGCGAGGCCACCACCTCCCTAGTATATATAATTTAGATAAAATAGAGGTGTTCGCTTACAGTTAATAAAGAAGGAAAACACATATTTGGCCCCCAGCAATCAGGCATTAGCAAAACCCTAATCCAGCGACTTCTCCACACCACACTTTTCTCCCGATCTCTTCTCCTCTTTTCATCTTGCCGCCGCCGGCCAACCCAACCCTCAATTATTAGGATGTCGTCGGGGGAGGATCAGGTCTCCTCATTGGCAGAGCCTAAGAGGCAGCGGCGGCAGTGATGGGATATCGGAAATGACGAGGACAGTGATGACGAGAGCTCTTTTCAAAAGAGGAGTATTTTAACCCACCTTCACAAACCAACCATCCACCCTAGATCCAGGCACTCATTAGTTGGTATCAAAGCCATACTAGGGCTACGGTTTATGCAAGTTGAAACTAGGATGATGAGCAAGACGAAGGGATCACATACGTCATTGGACAAACCCATTGTGCAAGAGGAAATGGACCCCGAGATGGTGTATGCGAACTCTTGCAACTGGCGGAAGGACAGGAGATGTTAGAAACCAAGCTGGATCAGCTGCTGCAGCACGGGAAATACGCAGAAGCAATTATAGGTGTCAAAACATGACCTGACCCGAGTAACCCGCCCAACCAACCCGATCCGCGAACCGCCCGCAACCCGATTTGACTAAAAGTCAAAGACCCGCAACCCGCCCGACCCGCAACCCGCTTGACCCGCAACCCGCAACCCGCTTGACCCGCAACCCGCTTGACCCGAACCCGCTTGACCCGCAACCCGCTAGACTCGTAACCCGACTAACCCGAACCCGATTAACCCAACCCTAACTCGCCCGATTGGCACGAATAATACTACATAATATATTTTTGTGCATAAATATTATATGTAGATAATATATATATAAAGTTTATGTGACTTGCCCTATTATTTTTTCATCTTTCCCACCAAGAACAAAGGTTTACTTTGTGTTGACAAATAAAAACTATCATTTAATTGAATCACATAATAGTCTCACTGTCTCGGTAGATAAGTATAAATCCTATGAGGGTTGTCAACATTTTTTACATTTGATTGATGTGTATAAATAATATATATAGATAACACATACATATGAAAAACATGATTGACTTAATTAAGCCAATCATATATCAATACCTAATAATTACAACATTTTTTCTTCCACACATAATATAACTGGTCACGAAAGTGAGAATACTGGATGATAGACGAGACTCGAGAGGTTAGGGTATTAGGGATTCGTTTTAATTTTCTGGTCTCTCTGCCTTTCAGTTGAACCAAGTAACAATAAGTTCGAATTGTAATAAAAAAATTGCGTGGACTAGTTGGCTTCAGTGATGGTCTTTCCAACTCAAGGTACATGGTTCAAAGCAGTGCTGTCAAAGTCGAACCGAGCCGGCCGGCCGGACCGCCAAAGCCGCCACCCGGCCGTAAAACCGGCTCGGATCAGCTATTTAACCGCCACGGTTTTATACAACGGCCGGCGAGCGGCCGAAGCGGTTAACCGCTCGAGCCGCTCAAGCCGGTCGCGCGGTTCGGCCGTTTGGTTTACCCTAAAAAAAATAGAGAAGGCCAATTGTGGAATGTGGCAGCCAAACAAAACCCTAACTTTCATTTTATTTCTTCATTTTCGACCTAGAAGTAGAATAGACGATAGAGGGAGAGCAGTTTCCATGTTTAAGACTCTTGTTTAATGTTCAGACTCGTGTGATATTGCTTATATTTTGGAACAATGTGGTGGTTTGGAATTGAATTTTAGATCTTTCAGTACTGATGTTCTAGAATGGTTTAAGAGAGTAATTTACTTGTGGTTTACCATGATTAAGAAGTGTCTACTATTTATACAGATGACTGTTTATTAGGTACCGGTTCTCAAACGGTTTTTAAACGGTCTAATGCCGGCTGGACCACTAATGACCAAGCCGTTCTCGTTACCGGGTCATACTCCGGCTCGGCTTTGACAGCATTGGTTCAAAGGCTAGCAAAGGCATATTTTTTTAACATGTTTTTGTTAACTGAATTTTAAAATAAAAAGTTAGATCTGAATTTTAAAATAAAAAGTTAGATTGTAATTAAATACTTAATGTATAGCATAGTTAGTAAAATACGGTACGGGAAAGTTACGTATAAAATACTTACGGGTATTATACTTTTCTCGTAGTTAATGTTACGTTTAATAGTACGTTAATAGTTAAAAATATATAAAACTAATTACTTTTATAAATAAATCAATATGTAAAAAATAGTAAAATTAATAATTCATTTCATTAAATACGGATATTAAACGTGTTATTAAACGGAGTATTTAGTTATTTACTAACTATGATGTATAAGGTATACGGTAGTGGACTTGTGGTTGTTGTAAAAAAAAGGACTCGTGGTTTAGAGTTTGGAAGATTATGACGTATGTTCTTCTAAATAACTGAATACAAAATTGACTTAACTAACATTCTTTACATATCATACGTTATAGTTTATACTTTATACCAACAATTTCATAACACATAACTATAGTTCATGGTTTAAGGTTAGTGTATAGGGTATATGGTAGTGGACTCATGGTTTAGAGTTTGGAGTCATAGGACGTATGTTCTTCTCAATAACCGAATATAAAATTGACTCAACTTACATTCTTCACATAACATACGTTATAGCTTATACTAACAATTTCATAACATATAACTATAGTATAGGGTATAGGGTAGGGTTAGGGTATAGGGTTAGGGTTTAGGGTTTATTCATGTTATGCTTTATGTTGGTTTATGATCAAGCAAGGTATCAGCTTTTTAATTTCTTATATTAGTTTTGTAACTTTAATGAATCCTCTGCAAAATCAAACTTGTTTATGATATATTCAAGCAAAATCTAGTCACTCATTTGTTTAATAATGTATCTTCATGTTTTTTTCATTGCAATATGGTGATCGGTGAGTTTGTTTTAAATTAGTGTAGTAACTAATTATAAAAAAAACTCGATGGTTTGGACCGAACAACCCGCAACCCGACCTGTTGTAACCCGCAATCCGATCAACCCGAACCCGATTGAACCGCAACCCGATCAACCCGTAACCCGATTGATCCGCAACCCGATCAACCCGAACCCGATCAACCCGCAACCCGATCAACCCGCAACCCGATCAACCAGCAACAGGATCAACCAGAACCCGCTTGACCCGCAACCCGCTTGACCCGCAACCCGCTTAACCCTCAACCCGACTGAACCCGACCCGAACCCGCCCGAACCCGCCCGATTGACACCTATAGAAGCAATGACGGGAGAGGAGCTTCGTCAGCGATTGAGGCCCAAAAATCCAACACCACTTTCATGAAGGAAGGATTCGCAGAGCTGCTACGTGCTATGAACACATTGATCCGACGTGATGACAGGAAGGCCGCCTACCAGGCTGTGGTAGTCGTCGATCCCAAGAGCAACGACCCGGTAAGTATCAAGGAGACCGACGAGCAGCGAGAGGGCTCCCTACCCTTCCCGAAGCAACTCAAGCGACAACCCGACCACGGAAAGGAGAAGGTGGGTGGTGGCGATGGCGGCACAGGGGAGTCGGCGCTAGGCGCACAGCCTGCAGGCCGAATGGTTGGGCCTGGGATTGGGGGCGTCGGACGCCAAGCCCAGAGCTGGGGTGGGCCGGGGCGAACCACATTCAGTTGGACCGAGCCAAACCACCAGATCAGGTCTAACCTGATGTTCGACCCGGTCAAGGGAGGCCGAGGCAGAGCGAGTTATGCCAGGCAGGGACGCTGATCGAGGATGGAGCTCGAAGATGCACGTCGATTCGATGGCCCTGGCGGCAGCAATGGATTCCTGAAAGAAGGAGGCATCTGGCAGCCAGAGTGCAGGAGAGCGACTCCGGAGATAGATAGATGGAGGAGGAGATGACCGGATGGGCGACTGGAGATGATCGAATCTGAGCACTGGGGCAGAGAGAACCGCCACCCGAGTTGCCACGAGGGAGGTTGGAATGGCGACAATGGTAACGGGAATAACTGGTTTCGGCCCAAGGCCCCAACCATTGAGTTTGCCAAATTTTCAGGTAAGGAGAATGCGTCGCTGTGGGTGGCTTGAGCGGAGCGTTGGTTCCAGCATCAGGAGATTCCAGAAGAACGGCAGTCCTACCTTGCGTCATTCTACCTGGAGGTGGAAGCGCAGTAATGGTGGGAGTGGCTGGAGCGTACTTATGCCGAGAAAGGGGAATTGATCACTTGGGAGTAATTCAAGGAGGAGTTTGCTTAACGGTTTGGAGGAACGGGTAGTCAGCTTCCGAGCAGTTGGTCAAACTGAAATAGACCGCCACTGTAAGTGATTTCCAGTTCGAGTTTGAACGATTGAGGAATTTGTGTTATGGCATTCCGGAGGAGATCCTGGTTGGGTTGTGTTTAGTTGGGTTGAAACAATAAATTGCAACAGCTGTCAAGGTGTGTGAACCCAATTCTGTGTGGGTTACCTTTCGTGTGGAAAAGAGGAAGGAAGAGGAGTTGATAGGATGGAAAGGGGTCTTAGGACGGCAACCGAGACCCACCGGAGCAGTCACGGTCCCGCAAGGTGGAGCCGGGTGAGCTGCGGCTGTCGGCGGAGCGCGAAATTGAGGCGGACCGACAGCGCCGGCGGGAGGAGGAG